AACAGCAAATGTACAACGGTACCTGATGATGACAAAACCTTGTCGAAACGTTGTATATTTGCTGTTATGTTAAACTTATATTAAGGTTTTTCTTTATTCCCCATTCAAGCCGTCTCCAAGCATTATATCATTTCTCTATTTTCGTGGAACCCAAAAAAGGTGACACTTTTACAGTAATTAACTTTTTTACCCTGTTGATTACCCTGAAACTTAATGGCCTACCAGAAAACTGTAGCGTAAAAAATTAAATGTAGTTTAAAAACATTCTGTTCAGAAGTTTTAAAGAAATATTTGAGGACAGTTTAGTTGATTCTATCTACATACAGTTTCGTATAATTACAGTTTACAAGTCTCTTGCCATAATAATAATAATAATGTGATTTAATTCAACTTTGTCGTATTTTAACTCGTTTTTATATTGTAATATTTTTATGTTTATTTTTTGGTTTGTTTTGAAGTTCGCGCAAAGCTACTCGAAGGTTATCTGCGCTAACCGTCCCTAGTTTAGCAGTAATAGACTAACAGTGAAGAAAACTAGACACCACTGCCAACTCTTGGGCTACTCTTTTACTTACTTTATAACGCCCCAACGGCTGAAAGGGCGGAGTATGTTCGGTGACGGGGTTTCGAGCACCCTAATCATCAGACCATTTGTTATGCCAACACAAATAAATAGTGATTAATTGTGAGCCTTTGTAAGAAACATAGTTTACGAAATAATTTTTACGTGGATGCGTAATTCGTTTTTTAAGACAACAATGTTAATATGTTATATAGATTTGAAAATATTGTTTTTCTACAACTTAACTGGAGAAATAAATATTAGTAAGAAATAATATAATAAGAAGTACTTTTAATAACATAGGGCATTGTTTTCATGTTATTGAGTAAATCTTAACTTTGTAAGTAATGCTCGATGTATTTTTAAAATTAAAAACACTTAATTTCTCCTCTTTCACGTCAATACAGTTTGACAATTCACAATACAAAATGGCGGGAGCAAAATATCAATTAAAAATATCAATGCTTGTTCTAAAGAATTTAAAAGTAGTTTATGTTTGTGAAGTGCTTCATCATTTATAATAACTAAATATGTATAATTGTACATTATGTAGATAAATAAAAACTTTTACTCAATGAATAAGATAACCTTTTTATAATAGCGTATATCCTCCAGTGGATCAGCGATAAGTCTGAAGACTTCTATCGTTAAAAACCTGGTTTCAATAGTCCTAGAAATCACAGCGCAGATAGCTCATTTTGTAGCTTTGCGCATAACAACAAACAAACAGCGTGTTTCTAAAAATAGTTTAAAATAGAGTTAGAAAATATTTTATTTTTATTTGTCCTATGTTAAAATTATAAATAATATTTAATGTAAAAATAAAATTTCACTGATTAATTTTTTAATACATTTAATTCGGTTATAGCACACGGCCAGAGAAGAAGAAAAAACTATAGTAAATGCAAGTTTTCACCTTACCCACTGGTCTGTAGCACCATTTGGTACAGGAGCAAGCAGAGCAAAAAATGTTGGTAAGGAAATTCATTTAAATGTTATGAAATAATATTTATATGTGCAATATACTTTAAAAGTTAACGTTTAAACATTTTGATAAAAAGATTAGAAAAATACGACCTTCATACTCCAGATAATTATAAAAGAACCTTTTACTTTAACCAACTTTCATCCCTGATGAAGGCGCATCGTTGGTTAAAATAAAATGTTATATTATATTTATCTGGAGTATAAAGGTCGTTTTTTTGTAACTTTTTTTTTTAATCAAAATGTGTAAATCCGTCCAGTGTGCACTACAAATTAAGGTTTAAACGCCGATAGTTAGCGAATTATTAGAAACCAATAGGCTCAATTAAGATAACCAGGGTACTTCAATGGAAAATAAATACAGCAAAGGAAAAAATACGAAAGATATAATTCAAGTACGGTGAATATGAGATATTGTAACTTAAACTGAATTTTTGTCTGTTTATTGTAGAAAGGCATTTTTTTAGCTTTAAACCAAGGACTGATGAGTAATAACTAGGCTTAACTTTAGACTTTTGTGGACTAGGTAGCATTATTTCTCACCCATAAAGTTGACTGGGAAGATAATAGTGTTCTATTATGTATCCCTTTATGTTTTTATAATAAATTTGGACGGAAGTGACTAAGTGGTTCCAACAGCAAACACGTTTTCTGTCTGCTATACAGATCCCCTAGTCAGTGGATCTCCCTGAAGACGGGAAGGTACATGTTTTATGATGTGATACGAATATTTCCACCAAGGAAATAAATGTATAATTTCCTTTTATGACTCTTTTCGGTGCGAAGTATATGTACTTTACTGTCAATTTGTTGCTCTTTTAGTTCAATTAATTTCCTTTTGGTAATTAGACTTACTGACGTTGACCCATTTCTTAGGTCTAGTAGTACATAGTGGAGTAAACTATGAATATCTTGTGAATTGTTGTTGTACTCGGGGAGATAGGGGTAGTCTACTGGCTTCAAACGCAAAATCCGAGGTTCGATTCCCCACGGTGTACACAACAGATATCCCAATGTGGCTTTGTTCTAAAACAGTCGATAAACAATGTCTGTCAATTATTCAGTTATTTTTAAACAACTGTTATATGCTCATTTGTATGGTGTATATTCTCTTATAAACTTATTAAAGTAAATTATATAGTTTTATTCCTTGAAAGTTGTAGGCCAGTTTGTTAGAATTAGTACTACATCATATTGAAATGGGTTTTTTAACTACTTGTGTTTATGTGTGAATAAATTATAAGTGTCTGAAAAAGTCATTCATAGAGTCCACACAGCTGATAACTTTCACTTAAGGTTATTTTTGTTTTTGTAATACTAGTTAAAAACAAAATATTTCTGATAATTAAAGTGCTGTTTCTTCATGTATAACATTTGTATAAATATAAAATGATTATCAGTGCATATAACAATTATTTTAATTCTATAGGCTATGTGTTTGGAGGTGAAGTTCTTAGGTTTTTTCATGGAGGAGATGAGTGCCTTACCATTCCTCCTACTTGGTCAGAAGCTCCAGGTCAGAAGTAAGTGTGGTTGTAAAAAACATTTTGTATATTTAATATATTTATTGTCTTTCATTGGTAAGTACAAAAAATTTGTATACTATCAATAAGCTATATTACCTACTTCTATAATTACTAAGCTATCATACATTAGAAATTTAGATTAACTTTATATGCATGCTGAAGCTGTCAAACTTTGCCCTGATGTTTTATATGTAACAGAATAGCTTTAAATAAACCTTACCTCTAAGTTTGTGTAATACAAGGCTTATCAGGTAGAAGAGTTATATATCACTTAGGTGAATTCTCCAACTTTGACTAGACCCTAAAGTTTACTATTGTTACCTTTTTTATATTTCTTAAATTAAAAATGAAATTATTTCTAAATATTTTATTTAGATGTGATAAATACGAACTTTTCTAAAGTTTAATGTGCAGTTTTATAAGTGCATTTAATTTATCATTTTAATAAGGTATGTGGTGTATTGTAGTGCAACATGCAATAATTTGGAGATATATCTTGAGAATCTGTAGTAATACCTCTTTTATATTTATACTAGATTTTTTAACTGTTAGGTTTACATACACAGAACCTTATTTTTAAAAGCTGGTACAATACTTTACAGCATGGTCGTGTATGAAGGTGGTGCAGTTCTTAACCAGGCAAGGTCCTTGTGGAGGTTGGAGTTAGTTCGAACAAAGTGGGTTTCGTTTCTTTTCGTATAACATTAATGTGCATCAACACTAGTTGGAAAAATAGTAAGAAATAACATTAAAACATTTTAAAGACTCATAACTTTAATCCTCACATTAACAATGTTTTTACACTGTTCACAAGCAGTGAAGTCCAAATATTTCATGTTATTGAGTAATTTTATGTTTTTGTTTGCATGTCATAACACTCAGCATTAAGATCTGACACTTAAACAGTTAGGTAAAATCACTGATTTTCTATATCAGAACTTAATATTTAAATCTGGTACAATATTTTACAGCTGGTTGTGTATAAAGGTGGTGTAATTCTTATGATGAGAAGTAAAATTTTGTAAGCTGTATTTTTAATACTCTAATTTAGATGTTAGCAAGATTAGCAAGACTATTTCGATACAGTTATTGGGTGTCTTGTATATGTTTGTCAGAACATAAGAATATATAGAATTATTTTCTTAAAGAAGTTAAAGTGTTTGTAAAAATGTATTGATAAACCTCATAGATGCATTAATACAAATTTGTAATTGCATAATTACTTTTATTTGTGCTAATTCAATATGTTAATATAAGTTTCATTAAAAGTTTATTTCATTTTACTCCTGTTACAACATACATATTAAATTTTTAGGTGGTCTGGAGGTTTCATAAATTGGGGCTATGCTCTTAGAGTTCGTCACATCACTACAGGTCGCTACCTGTCATTTAAAGAAAATCGAGAAGTGTGCCTGGTATCTCGTGAGGAAGCCCCTGTAGCAGCAACAGCCTTCTGCTTAAGGCAGACAAAGGTAAACTAACTGATAAAAATATTGAAAATAAATAACTAACTTAGGAAGTAATTGGTTTTTGAATCATTTGTAAAGTTCTAACTCTACATAATATGTATGAACCACAAAAAGTAAAAAAATATATTCAGCTTTGTATACATTAATCAAAATGAGTAAGGTATAGTGTAGTTTTTTGTTTGTTTTTCTAAAAAGTCTTGAAATATTTGACAATTTTTTACAATTTGAGAGAAAAAGTGTGCCAAAAAATTACATTTCTTTTATGGGTTAGTTTTATTATAACTTTTTTTTTTTTCAAATTTGGTCATAGTGCAGTTAATTGGATAATATAATATGAAACCTTTTATAGGATGATAAGAAGATAGTTATTGATGAGAAGGAAGAAGAATGCATAGGGTCTCCACTGATAAAATATGGTGATACAACAGTGTTCATACAACATCTGGACACAGGCCTTTGGCTCTCATACAAGGTTAGTTTCAATAACTTTTTTATGAGAGAGAAAACTACAAGGCTGGTAAAAAATGATTAATTAGGGGTAAAAAAATGCAGATAAAAGATTTTGCATAACTGCTGCATAAAGTCCTCTGTCATACAAGGTTAATTTTTTTTCAAGATGTTTCAGTTGTCAAGAAACTGCAATAAGCAAAGAAAAACCTTAGTACATTAGTCATAAAACAAAAACTATATACCTAAGTTTTAAGTAATAAAAACAAGAAATGAATTACTGGTGTGTGAAAGTGATTTAAGATAAAACTAGAGTAGTGATGTGTTTAGGACAAATAAATGAAAAATAATCAAATTGCCCAAAATATATTTTGGGAGATTCTAGTCAAATAAAACACTGAAAAAATTACAACAGGAAACTGGACAAATGTAAAAATGGTTCTAGCTTTTAGAGAAACAGGATGATCTTTTGGCACCTGGTTTTATTTGTAAAATATCCTTTCTCTCTAGTTGCTCTTTTCTTGTTTTTAAAAAGAAAAAAATATTCACAGTTATGCTATCATTGCTACAACAGTCACACTGATGCAGTCAGACATATCTTTGGCATATCACACTTTGCAGGTTACTACTCTCAGATCCTTTCAGTAACAATATTTTAATAGTAAATTCTTTTAAATTGTTTAACAATGATCAGGGCCCATTGAAAAGGTTACTGCTTATGTAGATGATGATAAGAGTGTATATTTGTTGTATCTGGATTTTCAGAAAGCCTTTGACAAGTTGCCACATAAAAGGCTTGTAAAAAAATTATCTCTATTGGTGTGGGGGATAAGTTAGCAAATTGGATAGAATAGTGTCTGGATGGAAGAAAGTCGAGGGTTGTTATAAATGAGTTATGTCAAACTGAATTAATGTTACAAGTAAGGTACCTCATGTCTCAGTCTTAGGACCTCTGCTCTTTTTGATTTACATCAATGACATAAATGAAGGAATGATCAATAAATTATTTAAATTTGCAGATGATTATAAGGTCTTGGGTGTTGCTAGCTATGAAGAAGATGCTGGTGCTTTACAAAAAGATTTAGATTGTTTAGTGAGTTGTGCAAATAAATGGTAGATGGGTTTTAAGTATAATAAATGCAAGATAATACATGTGGGTTATCATAATTTGAATTATAATTTTGAACGGAATAACCTTAACAGTGTTGTGAAATAAAGGGATCTTGGTGTAATAGTTGATCAGTCTCTTAAGCCATCCAAGCAGTGTGCTGTTGCTTGTGGTAAGGCAAATAGGATTTTCGGTTGTATCTACAGAAATATTGAATACAAGCCTAAATATGCTATAATTTCATTGTATAGGTCACTGGTTAGGCCATATTTGGAGTATTGTGTTCAGTGGGCTCCTTACCTAAGGAAGGACATTGAATAGTTGGAAAGGGTTCAGAGAATGGTGCCTGGGATGAAGGGGTTTTTATATGAGGAGAGATTAAGATCTTTGTAACTGTTTTCTCTTGAAAAAAAGAAGAGTTGGGGGGGATCTAATTGAGGAATTTAAGATTGTAAAGAGAATTGATAGTGTTGATGTACCAATTTTTTTCATGTTTAACAATGAGAATAGTAGGACTAGGGGACACAAATATAAATATTAGCAAGGTAGGAATCATCTTCAGCTAATACAGTTTTATTTTTCTATCAAGGTTGTTGTCCCCTGGAATGGGTTGGCTTCGGATGTTGGGGAAGCAGTAAATTTAAGCGAGTTTAAGTGAAAGCCTCGAAAACTATATGAATGGAAGAGCTGACTTTGAGATTTTTTCTTGCTTGTGTTAATTTATAATAGTTTAGTGTAGGGAAGGGGACAGTGGAGATAGACCAATAGGTCCCCTGTTGTCCCTAAATATTATGTTATGTTATTGTAATATCTAAGTTTGTACTCTTTGTATTTTGCTGCATTTACCATACAATTATGTACAACTTGCCCTTTAAGTTTAGGACAAGTTTTGTAAATATAACAGTAATAATCTCAATAATTTTTCAAAAATAATTTCTGTTTTTATTTGTTTTATGTTGCTACTTAAATTTTGAATTTATCACAGTTAATCGTCATAGCCTTCTAAGCTTTCTAACAGGATGGTGTTTAAAGATACCTTGTTAATGTCTTGTAATTACTTTTGTTTTCAAATGTTTAATTTTGGATTAACTCTCTCAAAACAATTATTGGTTGACTCGTATATGTTTGAAACTTATAATATATCAACGGTAAATGAAATGTTAATATTTTTTTCTTTCTCTCATCAGACCTATGAAACCAAAAAAAGAGGAGTTGGTAAAGTTGAAGAGAAGCAGGTTTGTTGATGATATTTTTATGTGTATTGTATCTATATGGTTTGTAATCTTTCAGTTATTTCTCATTTTGTTTATTACAGCTAATCAGTTATCCATTTATCCTGTGTCAGTTTGAAAATAGTTTAGTGACTTTATGCACAACATTGATGTTTTAATTCAATCTTAAGTTTTAAGTCAGTCATCAAAGGTATTATTACAAAAAGCTTACTTCCAATATTTAAGCAGTATACAACTGCTTTTTTTTTGATACTTTAATTCAATTTGGGATTGTAGATATTTATTGAAGTTTTAATGTAAAAACTGAGAAATTAGGCAGTTACTCTAAGCAGAGTTAATATCAGCTCAGTAGTAAATTAATGGGCTGTTCTATATATAATGTATATGCAAGAAAAAGAAAACAGATCTTCTGGTTAAAAACACAGCTGCAAATGCTGGATAAAGTACTGTTTATTTGAAGAACTAATTGGAAATGTCTTAAAATGCACCCTTGCAGTTTCATATGTCCTTTGTGATTCATTGACCATTACATAGTTAAGCATTAGATGCTGAACAGCAGGGGCAATGAAAATTGGAATTTACCGATATTGTTCAGTCAGTTCAGTATGTCTATGGCCTTAGCTTTACTGTAAATTAAGTTTTATTGATGTTAAATGACATTATATATATTTTTGGTAGAAAAAGAGAAAGTTACACAAAATATCTTTTTATAAATACCTGGTTAACGTTTGTCAAATTAAAGTTATGTAATGTTTTGTTTTGTAGTTGTTACATATTTTTTGCATATTTCGTTTTAGGAAAATGATTTTATTCCAGGTAATAGACTCAAACATGCTATTTTTAGTACTTTTAATATCTGTTATGCTAGGCTTAATATACACACTAATCAGTACCAATAGAATTTCCATTGGTATAACCTGTACTTTATCCACTGTGAAGATCAACATATTCTTCATGTTTTGTAGGCTATAATGTCTGAAGAAGGTAAGATGGATGATGGTCTGGAATTCAGTCGGTCACAAGAAGAGGAATCTCGAACTGCTCGTGTCATTCGAAAATGTGGAGCTTTGTTTAACAAGTTTATCATGTGAGCACAAAGTTTATTCTTTCTTTCTGTGTAATTCATGCATTCACAAACTATGAGCTTCTTGTTAAGAGTGTATATAATTGTATTAAAATTTCTGGCTTTTTATGTAATTCTTTTCTTAATCTGAAGCCAATTTTTTGTACACAAACTCTAGTAGTTTTCTTTAATAAGCACCAGTGTAAAACATTTTTTTGAGCTGAATTTAGTAAAATCTTACTATAATGGATGTAGTATGTACAAATGTATCTATCTGTGTATGTGTCCAAAATAATATATACAATGTGGCATCATCTATTGAATGGCACAACAAACAAAAGTCCATAAAAAAATTTCCCATTTTTGGTATACAAGATTCAGACAATTATAACAGTAACTACGGTACGTGTGACAACCATTTCTTTATCACAGAACAAAATTTTAAACAAAAGTACTCTCCTCACAACAAGAACACGACTTTTACTAGGACTGCACATGAGGGTTTGATTATATCCTTTTTGATGTAATTTGTAAATTTAGTACTAAAAAATGGGGTTCTTCAAAAAAGGTTATTTTTTCAATAAAGGTTATCACTTTTAATATATAAAAACATTACAGTTTATGTCAGCACAATCTGAACACTTTTCCCATAAAAATATTATTTTAGAAAATATTCAGTTTTCTAGATTTTTTTTAAGGAAGTATGTATATTACAGTTAGTAATTACTCACACAAAAAGCTGCCCATAACATGCAATATCTTAAACTTATATGATGTTTAGTTCAAAATTTTCATTATTAGTTTGGAGAAAATCTGGTTGTTTTCCTTTTTTCTGTATTTTTTATGCATTCAGAAATTTGAGACAGTTAAAAACAATTTGTAGGGTTATACAGTCACACTGAAGGGTTGAATATATTTGGATGTTTTGTTTCATTTGTGTATTTTGATTGTTATAACAACAGTTAAGGAAATACTGTAATTTTAGAAATACTACTTAAACTCTACATGGTTGTGTTACATATATATATAAACCCTTGTGAGTTGAAATAGTTTTGTTTTAGTTGCATAACTTAAAATCCTTTTAGATTGATATTTAGTTGGATGCAAATTCGTAATACTCTTCAAATGCACATGTAAAAGAATTATTTCATTTTACAAATGCCACAATATATTCTTGAAAGGTTACTTAAAATGAGTTTATATTTGGTGACCTCCATCTTTTCACTACATATATTATAAAACTTTTAGAAAAGTGATTGAGAGTTATTGTACCACTAACAGTGAGTGTTTCTTTTATTTATGTAGGGGCTTAAATACTGTAAAGTCAAAACATCACAGCTCTATTTTTACTGAAACTAATCAACAGGAAATGATAATGTGCTTAGAAGATTTAATAAATTACTTTGCTCAACCAGAAGAAGACATTGGTAAGTTTTGTTAATTACTAAGATTAAAATATATTTACATATATTAGAAATTTATCACTCTAGATGTTTCAAAATCAAGTTTTCATTATACTTTGAATCACAAATATTGTTAAAACAGCAAGGATAAAACTGTAGTTTCAACTTGGTTTTATTACATTTACATCAATAATTTTAATGCAGATGTATAAAAACTATCATAGTTATCATTACTGCTTCTGGATTAAATATTATATATATATATAGATAAAGTTAGTATTTTTTAATTGAAAAAACACCAAAACTTGTGCCTTAAAATTGTGTTAGTTATCCAAGAATATTCATGTAAAAAGTTAGAAAAACTAAATCTCTTAATTATAAGTATATTGAAAATAAAGATTTATGTGAAAGGTTGGTTAACTAAATGAATTATATATGAATTAAAATGCCAATTTTTTTCTACAAATTCCTCCTTTCTTATCATTTCCCATTTTTTGGGTTTCATTCAGTTAAGGTACTGAAACAGCAGAAAGAAATTGTGACTAGCAGAATGTATTATCTAAAACTTCTTTAGAAAAATTGATAAGAATATATTTTATTATTTAGGCTAGAAATTAAGTTCATTACATATTTTTATTTACAAGGTATTATGTATCATCATGTTTATGGTTATTTTTTTGGTTACACCTTGTAATTTAATATCACCTGACTGCTTTAAACAGTGTTTGAAATAATGCCTTTGGTAAGTTGTGGTATTGAGTGAAGGACCACATAAGTAATGTAGAGGTTGAGCACATTATGTTAAAATCATTTTAAAGCCTTATTATTTTCTTAAGGAAGATCATGAACACCCATTTCATTCTTCAGCTGCTTGAGGAATACAGCAGTTGAATGGAAGTGTCATGGTGTCATGGAAGAAACTTTCGTACATGAGACTTGGAGATCCTTGATGATTATGTTGCATACTGTTGCCTGAAATAACTGGACAGTTTTTGCAACTGACCTTTGTGGTCAGGGATTCTTACATGTTTCAAGATTACACATTTTGCTTAGCATGGCTGGAGTATTGCAGTCTCTTTCTGGATGGTCTTGGTCATATTCTCATGTTTTCCAATGTTATCGACTACATGGGATATTACTGTCTTTGAAATTCTAAATTGTTGATCTGAATGTATGGATAATTTATATCAGATAGAGCTGTAGCATATCTTCTCAACAAAGATCAATTTTTGATGACATGACACTATCTACGAAACACCAAACAATGTCAAAATGTAGTTCTGCTATATATAGTTCCACCAAGACTATATAAATTGATTGTAGTTGTCTTGTGATTTGTTAATTTGAAGATTCAGAATTGTTTCACTATAATGTACTCAACTTTCCTTAACCTGTATTAAAGAAGATATCTTAATATTTTATTAAAGATTTTTCTTTCTGTAAATTATAGTTGATCAATTAAAAATGAGATTTTCAGTTTCATGGTGTATGTAAAAAAGTTTAATGTTATAATTGAGACATACTTAATGTAATGTTGTCTGTATTTTACTTTGTAGAACATGAAGCAAAACAAAACAAACTCAAAGCTTTAAGAAATAGGCAGGACCTGTTTCAGGAAGAGGTAATTTATATTATGTACCTAAGGATTTCTGTATTTTTGCAGGAACACGAACAGATTGAAAATTAACAATATTTTACTACAGGTAGATGTCATTCTAGGGGAAATGGTTAAGACTAGTAATTGATAGACTTTTAATTAAGAGTTTAAATGTTAAAAACATTAGATAGAGTTAGGAAAAAGTCTAGAAAAGCAAACAGAGGATAAGGTTTAAAAATTAACCTATTTTTTTATTGGAGGGAATTTTAGGAGATTTTAATTATGGGGGTTTTGAGTCGTTTTTAACTCACCATATAGTAACCTAAATTTATTTATTTATGTGAATAATTTGGTATTGCACCCAATTTATTACTTGATATGATACAGTGGACTAACTGTTTAATGATTACATTATAGATTTCATTTCACCAAAGGTAAAATTAGAAATATGCTCTGTGATGTTGAAGTTTAATGCATTCTTTAATTTTTGCATCCTCTCTTTGTACTGTTAGGACATCGAGGTCACGTAAATAGTATCACGCCACGTAATTCTCGAACTTTCACGTCTTTTCCTTAAATCTCGTGATCTTTCTAGATATAGTGTTGTCTTGTATATAAGACTGGCCACGAAGCGACGGAGAGTGAATGAGTAATTGAATGTATGCGGACAAAATATTGTTGGCCACGTGAGACGCGACTGTT